AACCCGGAAGGAAGTTCCTGGCTCCTGGCTCCAGATCGGCACAGCACCGGCCCTTGCATTTACTTGGGGAGTGAATCATCGGATGGAAGATCTTCCTCTCTGTATATCCGACTTTATAAAAAATAATAACTGAAGGCCAGTGCAATAGCTCAACTGGCCAAAGCTTTGCCTTGCTGTGACAGCATACCCTACGGGCACTGGTTCATGTCCTCGCTGCTCCACTTCTGATTCAGCTCCCTGCTTATGACCCAGAAAAGCAGTGGAGGATAGCTCAAAACCTTGGGACCCTGAACCGGCATGGGAGACCCAGAAGAGGCTCTTGGCTCCTAACTATGGTTCAGCTCAGTTCTGGCTACTGCAGTCATTTGGGAAGCGAACCAGTGGATGGATCTTTCTCAGTCTCTCCTCTGTAAATCTGCCTTTCCAATTAAAAAAAAAAAAAAAAAAGGTTCTTGAATTCATTGGGAGAAAGGAGGGATCCCTTGAATGCCCATCACTGTGATTACGTCAGGAACTCAAAGGCCAAGGATGGCGGGGACGGGGCACAGGCAGCCCACTAGGGTGCAGGTGAGACAGACCAGCTGCCACCATACCTGCCCCAGTCTCCCTGCTGGATTGTGTCTGGAAGCAAGGGAAGGAGGGACCAACTCTGAGGTTCCCAGGGGCCCTGGGACTGCAGCGCCGGGATGAGCAGAGGCTACCCTGGACCTCAAGGTCCATCGATGACTGTGGGCAAAGTCACTGAAGTCTTGCAGGCCTCCACAAGCAATCCAAGGGTGGACCAGCAGCCTCTGTCATCACGCTCAGCCCCATCAATCCGGACACATTTCCAAGGGAGTCTGGCTCCCAGGACATGTCTTCCTTTCCAGCTCCATGCACCGTCCCCAACTCTGAAGCCAGCTGTGGCTGGCAGCGAGGAGGTGAAGCATAAAATATACTTCCCTACTCTCGATGGACAAGCTCACGTTCACCTGTTATCCATTTAGCCGTGCCAGGCACGAAGGAGGTGAAGATAAACTCAATCAGCTTCCCGGTACTCACAACCTGACTGGGGTGCAGGTGCAGTTGGAGGAGAAGAGGTACAAGGATGGTGATCAGAGAAAAGGAGACCAACCAAGGCAAGAAAGGGGCTGCCAAGAGGATGGGACAGGAGGCAACAGGCTTGCGGAGTGGAGGGAGCTGGCCCCAGCAGGGGGAGGGCCGGAAGGCCCCCCCAGGGAGGAGGCCTGCTGTGCTGCAGACAAGCAGGTGATAGGGAGGTGGTGACCGGAAGCAGGGGAAGGTTCTGGAGAACAACAGGACAGGGTCAACACTACCCCAGGACTCACTGGGAAGCTACAGAGAGTGGGAAGTGAGATATCCAAAAGCCCCGGGGGGGAAGGGGAGGGGGAAATGAAGGCCACACTCTCCCTGCTTCCACCCTTGGGGAGGCTCCAGGCAGTCTTGGAGTAACCATTTCAAACAATGCAGGAATCAAATCCTTGCCCCCAAGGCAAGCAAGAAGCTGCCTCACCAGGCTACCTACAAAGCCGGCATGCCTTTACTTCTCTCAAGGCTGTTAATTTCAATCCAACTAGGAAACAGGAAAGCATGTGGAGGCAGGGAATGCAGCAAAACCCAACTGCAGATGACTGCAAATACCTGTGATAAGAGTCCCCAGCCCATGACCCAGCCACCCACTACGTAAGCACTGTGTAATTGTCCCACAGATAACGTTCAAACTTCTCACAATCTTTCCGTGGTTGGGCTAAAGAACAAAAAGTAGCTACCAGTGCAGGCGGGCACAAAAGGTCCTTTGCCAAACTACTCAAGATATTTCAATTCTCCGTTGCCTCAGTAGCTAAATAAGCATGGAGAACAAGCAGGAGAGGAATACTAATTAGTACTAATTAGACTCTGCCCTCTTCTGCCTCAGTCTCCTTTATAAAAAAGACCCCCCTTCCAGACTCCAGGATGATGGAGTTAATATGTAAATCCGTAAGGTAAACAGCAGGCAAGGAGCCAAGCCCCACTGTTTGCATTCTATTGCCCTCTGGTTGGCTAAACCTGTGCCCAACACCAGCCTGGCCCGCCAACTCCAATAGTCCAGCAACTGCACAGGAAAGACCGGGAAATGGGGGGTGGGGGGGAGGTGGTGATGAGAAGAGAGCTGTAGGCCCCAGTAAACCAAACAAGATCGGAGCTTTCTCATTTGCAGGGCATTCACTCACAAGACATTTGGCGGCTGGTTTGTTTTCAATAAACTTTGATGGCAAGCATGAGCAAGACCCAGCTCCTCCCCCTGTCTTGGAGAGAAGGACAGCACACAAAGGCCTTCCCGATTGAGAGCTTTCCTCCCTGCTTTGTGTCCCGCAGGGATGTTCCCGGCCACAGGATAACAAAGAGCAGGAGTTAAGCCTGGGGCAGGAGGTGTGGAGCGGGGGTTCAGGTGAGGGAGTGAGGAAGCAGCCAGCCTGCCAAACCCTGCTCTGAACTGAGCCCCTGAAGTGGAATTTCTGTTTGCTGCAAGACTTGCCCCCTGGTCTAGGGACAGGCAAGCAGAAATCCACAGGTAACTTCTCTTCTTTCCTCTGCTTTTTAACTCAAATCCTAGTCCTGGTAGCAAGACAGGAAGTACCTGCCCAGCTTAGACCAAAAAAGGAGAGGAAAATGATAGGAAAGAATGAAACAAATAGCTAAATTGCCCCAGCAAACCTGGGGAACTGGAGCAATCACAAGCCCCCAGGCACTAAAGCAGGAGGTAGCTGGGCCGGCTGGCTCTGCAGGTACCTGGGGGACTGGCTGAACCCTAACTGCTCAAGGGAATCACAGGGGGACTGGTTGAACCCTAACCGCTCAAGGGAATCACAGGGGGACTGGCTGAACCCTAATCCTCAAGGGAATCACAGGAAAGAGAAACCCTAAAGGTGCCTGACATGCTGGAAACCTGCTCAGCGGCTCACCACTCAGCCAGGCCCTGTGGGCAGAGAGCACTGGACCCACCCATGGGTCCCCAGCCACCACTCCCAACCCAAAGCAGAGGGAAGAGCTTTGCAGGGGGAAAGCGGGGCAAATGGGAAATCACACGCCTTTCACGTTCCCGGCAGCCAGGTTCTTATGACAATCACAGAATGCCACGCTGGAAGGCAACTTAGAAGCCATCTCCTTCCAGAAGTTCCCAAATTTAGATTTCACTGAATGGAATAGTTAAAAGAGAGAGAGCAACAAAGGAAGGAGGAGGAAATTAATAGAAGAATGTTCATTTTTAAAATATAAGGAAACAATAAAGAAGCAACCACCTATTATCACTTCAAAGTAGGAAAATTCCCACCCACCCCCAAAATAGGGAGCCTCAGTGAGCCTCAGCCTGCAGGACTAGCAGCCCCCATGGCGCTGGTTCAAGTCCCACCCACTCTGCTTCCCAATCCAACTGCCTGTTGATGTGCCTGGGAAAGCAGCAGCAGACAGTCCAAGTCCTTGGGTCCCTGCACCCACGTGGGACACCCAGAAGAAGCTCCTGCCTCCTGCTGCTGACCAAGTGGTCAACTGGGGACTGAACCAGCGAGTGGAAGACCCCCTCCTCCCTCCCTCCCTCCTTTCCTGTCTTTTCCCCTCTCTGTGTTGTAACTATGTCTTTAAATAAATAAATAAATCGTTAAGACTTTTTTTTTCAAGATAGGGCATAATTTTAAACCAAAGGCCAATCTCGTGAAGCAGCGGCTTCCAGAAATGCCAAGACAAATGAGTTTTTAAAAATAACGCGCACGGGCCCACGAACTTTCTGAAGCCGCTTCCCACAGCTCCTGGCGTGGGACACAGGCTCCCTTCCTCAGGCACCCACGAAGCCGCAGGCGCTGGGCGCGAACCGGCAGCTGACTGCAATCCTACTCCACACTCAAGCGTGCGTACGTTCTCTTAAAACACAAGCAGCTACAGTAGGAAGCCTGAATTAGAGCATGAACGCGGGTTTTGTCAACTCAGTCCCCTCCTCCTCCACTTTCACACACTGAAACCTCCCGGGTCTCCATGTAAATGAGACATCGTGGGGGGACCCGCCTGGCCCGGCCGCCGGGCAACCAGCTTGGCTCACAGACGCCGAGCCATAGGGCGCACCACACAAGGCTGCCAGCGCTTCCAAGGCGGAAAGGAAGGAGAAAGTTTGGAGCTTCCTGCCTCCTTTCTCTCCTTTTCGGAGGGGCGGGGTGAGGGTAGTTAATCCGTCGGAGCGTCCCAGCTGGGGCCTCCCCGCTGCGGGTCCAGCCCTCTCTCAACTTAAAGAATTTAACGCAGGTACCCCGAATTCCCTCCAAGGCGGGGCCTGTTGGGCAAAGGAGTGCCGGGCCAGGTCGCCTCCCCAAACCCCGAGGTATTGGTAAATCGTGGCACGAAACCGGGCAGAAGAAATCAGATGAGGCCCTGGCTCGGGGCATGGGTCTCCCCTCCGGTGTGTGCAAGGCATTGCAGGAAGGGAGGAACGCATCTTTCAAGGCAGACGGGTGACCCACCAGGCGCCTTGAAGAAGCCCCAGATCTCGCCACTGGGCCCCCGGACACCCCACATTCTAGGACACTCGCCCTCCGGCGTCACCGCTGCCCCAAGCTTTAAAACTCCTCTCTGCCCTTCGCCTCCGGGGCCCCAGGCGGCATCGCTCCGCGCCTCCCGAAGCTCGCCCGCCTCCGGACCGACCACAAGGGTTGCTTTGTGCGCCCGGCTGGAGCGCCCCGGTCCCAATGCTGGGCTGGCCCTGGACGCGGGCGTTCGCCGGGTTGGGTCAGCAGTCGGGCCGGGGCTGTTTACACAGGAAGGGAAGGCTCCTCCTCCGCCCTGGACCTGACCCGAGGCCGACGACAACCTGGCGGTGCTGCAAGAACCCGATGGCGCACGCATTTCGAAAGCTCCTAGCCGGCTGCGCTACCTGGGAGTGCTCCGAAGGTTCCCTCCACCCGCAGGCAACGCCTCCCGGCCCGGCCCCTCAGCGAGCAACAAAAGTTTCGGTCGGCGCGGCTGGCGGCGCGGCTTACCTGGAAGCCCGGGTATGAGCGCGCAAAGGACGAGCAGGCAGGCGTACAGGGGCGCGGGCGCCGGCGCTCGCGGCATGGTGGGCGCCCGGCTCAGGGACGGCTCGGGCGGCGGGCTCCACGGGGGCGAACGACCCGGGGCCGAAGCGCAGGGGCCTAGGACCCGGGGCCGCAGCTACATGCCCCGCACGCTCAGGCTAAGGGCTCACGGCGTTCGTGGCGGGGCTGAGGGGTGGGTGGTGGCGGCTGCGTGCCGGGCCGCCACCATCCCTCCCGCAGCGTTCGCAGCCAAGGTCCGGGGCCGCCGCGGTCCTGGCGGGCCGGACGCCAGGGGTGTCGGCGCTCGGGACGGCCCCGGCGCACTCCCGTGAGCCAGAGGAGGAGCTGGCCGGGCGGTGGCGGCCGCCCCGGGCTCCAGGGACGCGCCGCCCGCTGAGGCTGCCCGCGCGCCGACACACTCCGGCCCTCTCCTGCGCCCTTTCCTCCCTCCGGCCCGCCGGGGCTCCACTTTCCTCCTCTCAATCTCCCCCGCTCGGGCAGCCGCACGCTCGGTTTACAGCCAGGCGGGACGAGGCGGGACGGGGCGGGGCGAGCTCCGGGACGGGCCGGCTCCGCCCCGTGCGGGTCTCGGGCTGCCGGGCCCGAGCGCGCCCAGGTGGAAACCCTTTCCGGCGCGCGGGGGTCCGGGAACGTCTCCAGGCCGCCGGGAAGCTCAGTTTTGGGGGAATAGGATGGGGGCCGTTCGCTGTATACAAGGGGGCGGGGCGCACTACTTGAAGAGAGCCGAGGTGACCCTGGCCAGGCGGCGGGAGAGCAAGTTAGGCAGGGCCGAGACTGTCATGCTGCCGCGCCACCTTCACCTGCCTGGGCCGCATCTTCAGCCTGACCTCGACCCAGGTGGAACCCAGCAGCCCACGCGGGCTGCGTCAGGTGTAGCCTCGGTTAGAAAAGAGAGGCCTGCGGGCGTAGAGGCCCTGGAGAAGCCCAGTTCGCTTACACAAACATGTCGCCCCTGTGAGGGTTCCAGCCGGACCCAAGTGCTGTCAGCACCCTCGGTTGGATAACCAATGGTTTCCGACATGCAGCAGAACCATGCAGATAGCATTCACATCCGAGCTGGATCAGAACCAGTCAGTAAAGGAAGAACTGGGAGTGTCTCCTTGGCCAGCTCCAGAAGAGATCCTGGGGGGGTTAATGGGACTAGGACGAATGGGTTGGGACTGCAGCGGCTTGCAGCTATGGGACAAGGCCATATTCACACAGGACAAGGTCCTAGGGTCTCTAGCACGCAGGCACACACACTTCCCTGCTATCCCAGGCCCTGTGCCAAACACTGAGCCCCGTGTTAACAGGCTGCAGCCTTGTTATCCGGGTGAGGAAATGGAGGATGGGTGTTGGAGCTGGAACCCCCTCATCCAGAAATTCCAAGTGGCTTGGCTTACACCAACAATAGAAAGGAGCAAAGTGGGCTCATCTTGACAGGTCAGAAACTGGAGGACGGAGGCTTACGGAGCCACCTGGAGAACTGTCCTAACTGTCCAGGTTCCAGGCTCTGGATCTGTGGGTCTGAAATTTCTTGCCCTGCTGCACCTGAGCTGGAGGAGGAAGCCGACTTACTGTAGAGGACTTCTTAGAGTGAGGCTGAAGCAGTCCCCAGCCAGCACTGCCTCTTACCCACCAAGTGCATGCAAATAGCTGACTAGTCTTACTAGCCACATATTTGTCCACTTCTTGGCACAGCTGGTCCCAAGTTTGCCTTGTAACTCCCTGTCCCCCCTGGGAAGCCCCTGGGAGCTGTCCTGAGCCAAGTGATATAGGATGAATTTGATACATGAGTCTCCAAAACCAGGTGAATAGTGCATGAAAAATTGCAAGTGCTGGGGTCTGTGTGATGGATGTGGAAGACAGGAAGGTGTGAAGAGTATCGTTCCTTTGCAGGCAAGGGCGCAAGGAACTTCCCACTGTGTAGCAAGGCCCGGCAGATGTCTCTACAACACCTGAATGCAGCTCTGCCTCCCGTTGCATGGACACCCGACAACCCCAGTGAGTTTTCTGTAATCTATTTAGGCATTGTCTGCCTCTGCAGAGTTACTGTTAAATATCAGTAGGAGCTTAGAAGCTGATGTTGCTGTTGCCGGTTTTTTAGCCAAAAAGCTGTTATTGCTGTTACGGCTGCATCCTGTGGCAATATGCTAATCAAGGGTGCTAACTCCCCTTTTTATCCTATGCTAATCAAGGGTGTTCTGTCTTCAGGTGTAGTGGGAATCTATTCTTTCCCTCTTTCTTTGATCTTTTAGGTCCCTCCTGTGAAGTTCTTCCTTCCCTGACTGTCTCAAGACCAACCTGTAGAGTAATTGTGGTAGGAATATGTTACTGATTGATATGCACCATCTATTGAAAACTTTTTCCTAGCCAGGTGCCAGGCGCCAGGTGGTTAACATCCTAGCCTTAGGTGAAACAAATGGCAGAGTTATCTTTAGAAACACCCACTTGACCATGACGTAAAAAGTCTGAGCCAGAGTTTGACTGATTTTGTATAAATAAAGTGGACAGCTTTTGTGCATCGTCCATTATGATGATGAAGTCCTAGTGGTCCGTCTCTATGTTTCTTTGCGCCTCATCCACGCTCCCTTCGCGAGTTCTGAACTCAGCTGGAGCTGGACTCCGGCATGCAAGAAGTTTGCATGAAGCATAGTTTCAAGCCTATACCTGTGTTAAGATTTTCTGTGCATTTTCTTCTCTGTCATAACTCAGGGTCTTCCCTAAATTGAAACATTCCCCTCTACAGAGCACCTTTACCGGGAACACACCTGGGATGTGCTGGGATCCAACATGTCCCAGTCTTTCTGGCTCCCAGCCTGTCCAGACCTGCCAGGAATGGAATCCAGTGTGAGCCATTCCCCATTTATCTTAAACGCTGGCTTGGAGAGGCTGCTGTAATTACTCTGAAACCTTTGCTTTTAAGTTCCTGCCTTTCTTCCTAAGTGAGACCCCATAATTGTTTTTGTTAAGCTGCAGGCTGGAGGTGCCTCTCATGGCCTTGACTTCCACCTGCTCAGGCAGGGCTACCCTGAGCCAAGGGGGCTGAAAGTCCTTCCTGGTGGCCCCTGCAGGAACATTCCATCCCTGAAGGAGGCTGCTGGCTACATCAGTTTGACTTCCAGGTCCTGTGCCTGGATCAGGTAGAGACATTTTGTTTTTACTGTTAATTTTAAAGTCACACCAACTGGGCTGGCATAGCCCTGCATCCTTGGTGGGTGCCAGTTCACATCCTGGCTGCTCCATTTCTGATCCAGTCCTAGCTACTGCTTTCAGCCTGGTCCAGTGCTGCCCACTACAGCCATCTGGGGAGTGAAACAATGCAGGAGAGATATCTAACTCTGCATCTCTTCCTCTCTCTCTCTAACTCTCCCAAAATAAATAATAATAAATCTGGGCCTGACACAGTAGCCTAGTAGTTAAAGTCCTCATGTTGCATGCACTGGGATCCCATATGGGCATGGGTTCACGTCTCCACTGTTCCACTTCCCATCCAGCTCCCTGCCTGTGGCCTGGGAAAGCAGTAGAGGATGGCCCAAAGCCTTGGAACTCTGCACCCATGTGGGAGACCTGGAAAAGGCTTTGGGCTCCTGGCTTCAGATCGGCTCAGCTCTGGCCATTTGTAGCCACTTGGGGAGTGAATCAGTGTTTTGAAGCTCTTTCTCATCCTCTTTGTATATCTGACTTTCCAATAAATACATCTTTAAGATAAAATACACCTTAAAAAAATCAAATAAGGGGCTGGTGTTATGACATAGTGGATAAAGCTGCAAACACCAACATCTGTTTTGTGTCCTGCTTTGTTCGGCTTCAGATCCAGCTCCCTATTAACATGTCTAAGCCAGCAACAGGAAATGGTCCAAGAGCTTGGTCCTTTACATGCATGTGGGAAACTCGGATGAAGCTCTTAGATCCTAGCTTTGCCTGGTTAATCTCTGGCTGTTATGGCCACTTAAGGAATATATACATATATATACATGATTTATTTATTTTTATTGGAAAGCCAGATATACAGAGAGGAGGAGAGACAGAGAAAAATCTTCCATCTGCTGGTTCACTCTCCACATGACCACAGTAGCTAGAGATGAGCTGATCTGAAGCCAGGAGCCAGGAGTTTGTTTCAGGTCTCCCACGTGGGTGCAGGGTCCCAAGGCTTTGAGCCGTCCTAGACTGCTTTCCCAGGCCACAAGCAGGGAGCTGAATGGGAAGTGGAGCAGCCAGGACATGAACTGGTGCCCATATGGGATCCTGGTGCATGTAAGGCAAGGACTTAAGTCACTAGGCTACTGCGCCAGGCCCAAGAATGGGGAATTCTTAATAACTGGGAACAACGTATCAGTGTGGGATAATGGAAAGCTCTAGAAACAGATGGTAGTGATAGTTGCAGAAATTGTTCATGTATTTAATGACACTGAATGATTTGCTTAAAATGACAAAACCAGTTTATCATTAAACAACACTTAAAATCAAATTAGTTAAAAATTTCCTATTTCACAATCCCAAAATGCGTGCTAGCAATCCTCTGGTGAGTTGTCATATTACACGATTCAATGTGTAATCCAGGTGAAAGAAAACATTTTACCGATGCTGATTGTAATTTAATCTGCAGGAGGAGAATTCAAGGGAGGAGGGAGAACAATGGATCCTAATGTACTCACTGTAACCCAGGCTCAGGCTGATTCTGCGTTTCAAAGACGTGCCTGAGACTGGCCACAGTGCAAGAAGTGAATGAGCCCACGAACACAGTAAGGCAAAATTCCTTTGTAGAGATAGGCTTATGAGGCATGCACTCAACTTTCCTTAATGTTAAAATGACGCTTTTGTCTGAAAAAATGCCCAATTATATTCCTTTTTATAGGAAACTCTTATGGCCTAGGTTTTTCTCCCCCTATGTATTATGGTCTTAAGAAAAAAAGTTATCCCACGCTACGAGCCCTCGGAGTTCACAGTCCCTGCTGAACTGAGCAAATAGTTTATGTGATCTCCAAATAATGGAAGCACAAGTGCAGACAGCCCCAAATCAGAGGCCTAAGAAGGCAGCGGGGATGGGAGCTCAAATGAG